CATACACCCAGCAGCGCTGCTGATGCCTGAACGGTATGTGGAATGAAGTGGGCGGGCATTGGGAGGCCACTATGGCACGGGGCAAGCACTATGGGCAGTCTATCTGAAGTGTACCTGGCGTATAAGACGACCCCCCACTTGGAGGCATATTTTTCAGGGCCAAAAAATCGTCTTATACGCCGGCAAATACGGTAAGCACATATTAACCTTGGTAACAACATTCAGATTTAAACATAAAAATTTAAATATAGGAATCTCTAGAGTCTCTTTTAAAAAAATCACAATCTATATAAGCATCTTTCAAAAAAAACTTTAAAATGAATATTTGTACAAAATTATACACACTGAAAATTTTATGAAAACAGAATTTACTTGGTTGGTATAAGCCATTGCATTAGTGCATTTAACTCATAAAAGGTTCCTTCTAGCAAATTTAGAAGAAAGTAATCTTGCAAGTTAGAGCTATAATCTTTCAAAGTTAGAGCTGTTCCATTTCATGGTACAATATATATAAAACAGTGACATTTTCAAACAAAATAAAATTTGCAAAGGTATTTTAAACCCAATTCAATTCTATAACCCATCACTATAGAGGAGGTAATGACATTTAAAATTAGTGAAAATCAAAAAGCAATGCAACTACATAAAAATAATTTTAAATACAGATTTTTACTTTCAATATACAAATATGAGTAGGGTGGGGAGAACAGGGAATATAGTATTCTGCATCTCTATCCAAGTTCATTTGTTTCCCTCTTCTTGACTCATTTCCACTGAATACATGAAAACCTAATGTAAATCTCAACTAAAAGGGACTTTTCTAGGTTAGAAAGACAAGAGCAACAGTAATATATTGCTTCCCATTTATAAATTAGGAAAATATCTACTAACAATTTCTAGTAGTATTTATAATAACAAATTTGAAACTATTTTGATGACAGTGCTTTCTAAATTTATGGTATATGATAAATATGTAATAAATTTTGAACATCATTCAACTTATGTAACCACCATACTTCGTTCTATTGATCCACATATAATTCTCTATTAAAGTTCTTAATATCCATTACTTTTAAGTTATGCCTAAATTCAAAGCTCTTTTCACTTTGTTTAAAATATTTCCCCATACGCTTCCTATAATAAAAACAAAAGGATTACACAATGAATCCTATTATCTACACTTCCATTTTATTATTACTTACATGTGAATCTATAATTATAAAAGCTTAATATGCTAATTAGACCAGACAAAGCTGGGGCTGGGAGGGAAGCCCGGGTCCTGGGTGCCAGAGGGAAGTGGAGCCAGCAGCCAGGGGAAGGAAGGCCTAATCTTGCACGAATTTTGTGCATCGGGCCTCTAGTTTAAAAATAAGAGAGCATATTTCCCATACGTTCAAAAGTACAAGTGATATATTCAACCCTGCCCTAAAAATATAAAATTTATAGCAAGGTCCTGAAGCTTATATACCTGACAGAATGGGTGCAAAAATTACTCAGTTTAATAAGGGATGCAAAGAAGTAATGACGTTATAATTTAAGCATACAAGCAAAAGCCAAGCTGTAATTGTACCTCTCTGACCATATATTTTGCATGCCTATATCTCCATCTCTAACACCAGCATCATCTCCTTACTTTTAATTGGTCTCCCACATCCACTCTTATCTCCCCTCCATTCTATTTTCCAGAGCAGCCAGAGTGATTTTTTTAAAAAACAAATGTGATAGTACAAAATAAAAGCTTTAAATATCTTTCAATAACTCCATTGATCTTAGGCCTGAGCACAAATTCCTTCTCTAAAATCTTACATACCCGGAACACTGCTTACTCCCTTATCATCACCTGTTCCACCCTCTTTCTTCCCTTCTGTTCTGCACACTCTCAGGCTTTCTTTCCATTTCTCAAACTTGAGTATGCCTTTTCTTATCTCAGTGCCTCTGGACAATCTATCCCCTCTGACAGGTTTGCTCATCCCTGCCCACTCTCGACAAATTCCCCTTCTTTCTCACACATTCAACTGATAATTCTCACTATTACTTAATTCATCTAAAACATCAATTCCACATGTCAGCCTTTGTTGACCCTCTCCCTTTGCTTTATTCCTTCAGATCAGGTCTGGATCTCTGGTGATACATTCTTTTTTTTTTAAAAAAAAAATCGTTATTGTTCAGATTATTTCAGATGTTCCTCCCCCGCCCCCCCATAGCTCCCCCTCTACCCAGTTCCTTATAGCACAGAAATTTTCATTTTTTATAGCACTTACAAGAAGCATGTCAAACTCGCGGCATGTGGTCCACAACAAATATTTTTGTGGCCCAGCCACTATAACAGTATATAAGAAAATTTCGTAACTTATTTTTACAATATCCTGTTATACATACTTATTAATAACAAACTACAAAGTTCGCTAATGACTGATTACTATAATCATGTTGCATTCATTTCCCTT